CGTCAGCGGGGACGATCTTCACGGCCAGAGTCGTCTGATCAAGAGAGAAAGATGGAAAAAGAAATAAAAGAGACAGAAGAAAGAAAAGAGATATAACACAATCGTGCGAGGGAGAGGGAGGGCGAGCGAGAGAGAGAGAGAGAGAGTGCACACACGCACACACGCATGCACACCAAAGAAGAAAGCTATGGCTCTGGGGCCACCAACATTTGAAGGCTGCAGGGTTGCATGGACCATGGGAAGGTTTTGCGCACCGCTGGCCTCTTCCTTCTCGGGTGCATTGCACCTCAAGCGCCCCAGCAATCAGCGTTCTAGGGCTCGTCAGAAACCCTAGCTGCACCATGCTTCAAGCCATTCCCGCTGTTGTGCAACCGGCCCATTCTGACACTCACTCTCGCACGTCTACTATGAGCAGTCTAACTGACACGCTAACCTCCGTCAAGGAGGAGGAGGAGTCCCAGTGTGGACTCATGGTAGAGCTGCTTGCCATGTAAGCTGCGCACATCTTCGTGAGGGAGTTTCCCAGCCTGGACAGAACCACCAGAAAGCACATTACAATTCATGAAGATGCTTTGGGTCTAAATCTAAAAGGGTGCAAGCAGCCTCCGCCCGAAGTGCCCGAACCCATGCGAGTGATCTGCGCCGAGCCCGCGGCAGATATGCTGGGCGTGTACGATGAATGTGCTTCGGGAGCCTGGAGCAACGGCGAAAGCACACACTGGCGGACACGGCACACACCAGTGGTTCCGGAAGTGCGTAAAGATGATGCGCAACATGGCGTGCGCCTCCTGGGAGGAAAAGGCCGCAAGGTGCCCGGCCTAAAGCACAGAAAATGGCGGTGTCCCGTACAGAGCCATTCAGCATCATTCAGCCTCACCCCAACTCCTGAGCCACGGACTCTCGCGGCTGGCTGTTGACCTGGCCTGTCTGCACCTTGCGGATCGGCCCCTGCCTTCCAAATATCCCTTCCGCTCGCCGCATCCTGCCTGGATCTCACTGACGTGATGGCCTCCAAACTCCAGAGATCCCACTTTCTTTTACACCGACTTAAGCGACTTCAGCCTCAGGGTCCAAAAAACGACGCGGTGAGGATCGGTGACCTTTTTACTGGGACATGGCCTCCATGATGCCGGTCCTCGTCTGGCTCCTCGCTCCAAGCCGCCTGAAGGGAGCTCACGATGGCATAGACATACTAAGACATATCAAGGATGTCAAGGCATACCAAGACATACCAAGACACATCAAGTGGTCACGCATCGTGGAATCTCGTGGAATCCACATCCGTGGGCTCCAAGGCCTCCGACTCGTCGTTCGCGTCTTCGAGGCGAAGAGAATCGGGCAGGTCGGCACAAATCTGCAATGCAAGATAAAGAGAGGGGAGACCATCCCAAACTTCTTCCCTCTTTACGAAAAAACAGCAAGCGGAGACTCTCACTCTCTCACAGAAAATGAAAGTCTCTGAGTGTCATCTGGCGTTCACAGAGAATCCAAACTCTCAGTGAGCCCTTTGATGTGTCCTCTCTCACTAAATTTACGAGAGACAGCTGTCACTCACTCATTGCGTGTTGTGTCTCCTCTCAGCTGCGCAGCTGCGCCTGCATGTGTGCTGGACTGAAAGGCCGGGACTCACGAGGCCCCATCTTGAAGGAGCCAGGAGGCTGGTTTGCCTGCTGCACATGTTGAGCGATTTTTTAGCACAGTTTGGCCATGTTTCGCCAGGCCTTGGCGTAGTCAATCCAAAGGACGGCATCGACCTCACCAAAGACTGAAGCAGAACTGGTGAGACGACAATTCTTGTATCCGTCCTTTCCGTGTCAAGGCCGCGGGCATTGCCGAACATGGCCCAGCGCCGGATCCGATCTATCAGCCCCTAGGCGACAGCGATGACTTAGGGATTTAGGGCACTTGGCATGCGAAGTCGTTCCTTGCAACCGCAAAGGGCGTTCGGCCACCAGGTCGGGAGCTTTAGGGCACGTTGTGCCATGTTATGGCATTGGTTACACACTATTTTTTCAACCCAGGCCTGATAGTAAGTTACTAAGCAACACACCCCCACACAAATCGGTCCCAAGATACCAGAATTGGCGTGCATGATGTTTGCTTTATAACTTTCGAAGTGCTGCGCCATTGCAGCAGCTGGAATAGACTAATGGAAAAGCAAGACCGTTCAGCGTGTGAGAATCATTGAGAATCTGCGCTCTTTTCCAGCGACGTTCTGCATTACCTTGTTGGCAGGAGGTCAGGACAAGTAAGAAGATAATATGCTTACTGTTATTCTAGTGGGAACTTTTGCATCCTTCCTGTGTCTGCTCAGAAAATTGTGACTTGGCACGACTCGTCTTCGGCAGTCATGGTCCACAGTTTCCCACTGTTGCAGGCAAGAGAAGACTCAGGGTCGGCAGTCGGCTTCGAGCGCTTCGATTTAGCTTCCTTTTTGCCATTTCTCAGAATGTTGTTAGCATTTGGTCTCCTTGCACGTCGGCGGGCCTGGTGATATGCCGGCTGTCCCGCCGCAGCAGCAGCAGCAGCAACCGTAGTTATTCATCGACGCTTGTGGGCAAAGGTCCCGACCATTTGGGAATTTTGCAAGAAGTCTGCCGGACTTCTCTACTGCCGGTCCGCAGGCTAATCGCGAGCAAAGTTCACATCCGTGCAGATGTTGGCCGCACATTTTGCCGTACTTACTGAAAGAGCTGCGCAAAGCCTCCCTCTTCCGGCACTTGCAACCTCTCCCACATACCCCGCCTCGTGTTCTCGTCGTGTGCGGTACTGGTGAGTGAGGGTGTTCATGTACCTCGGTGACTCGGTGGCTGGTCGGGTGCAGACTACGGACTGAATGTGAATTCACGAAGCGCAAGGGAGTCGAAGCTGCAGGATCTGGCGCCTTAGGCCTTCGCCCAATGTACTCCTGGTACGGGAAACCGAAACATCTCCTCAAATTCCGGATGGCACCGTTGAGGTCCTGTCCAGGTCATCATGCTCAGAAAACCTCACCAATCGACGGAAGCCACGGGAGCCTCAAAGGCGCTGAAGGCATAGCGGATTGTCAGATCGGGATCGTGGGCCTCAGAAACGCAAAAAAGGCTTCCTTTGAAACCGTAAGGAACCATCTTTTGCGTCAACTGCCGGCAGCTGAGCATTGACAGATTTGACAGCCAAGGAAAAGGCCTTTGCTTCCTCCATGGTGCTGAGAAATGGAGGCAGCACCTAACCCCGCAGGCAAAGGAACAGTCTTTCTCGTCTGCCCATTAGGAATCATTAGGTGCATCGCAGGGCCACCATCCAGCCATCGTGTCCGCACCTCCAAGAGCTGCCCCAAAGCACCCAAGTCATTTGCAGCGCAGGAACTGCCATGAACTGCCAACTAGAGAGACTCAGCCCCGGACCTTTATGAGCTCCCTAGGTTGGATGTAGAACAGCGACGCTGGACCTACCCACAGCTCAGAACTCTCCGAAGAGATGCTACACCGCCAAGCATTTGCCACAGCTGCTGAGCTTCCGAGGGCAGAGCCCCACTCCAGTAACGCGATGTTACGCATGCTGGGCGTACTGAGCAGGCACAGCGCCCAAGCTATTCGGACAAACATCTTGGAACTGCAACCCTTTGGGAGTGGAGTCGGGCCAACCGAGGCCGCAGCAAAGGTCGCAGCGGTGCCGTGTCCAGTCATGGAACCGCCCATGGCGCCACGTCTAGAGTTCGGAGTGTGTGTGTGCAGCTTGGGTTGATGTCAACATATGTCAACATGTGATTGTGTTTTCAGATGCTACATGTGAACATGCATACGAGTGTCAAGTTTTAGCAAACACAATCGAAAGTCTGCGCAATCGAAAGCCTCCTTGCATGCAAGCTAACTAGCACAAGCCGTGTCACGCGCAGGCAAACCCGCAATCGCACGTGACCAGCGTTCCCGCCCGTGCCTGGCCCTACCGTGCAAGACCACACGGTTTTGCGGAAAGTCTCATGCTATGCTATGAACTATGAACCAGATAAGCAGGTGTTGTTCTATGGGGTGGCCCTCCAGGGATTGTCTGGGGATACTCTTGGGGCAGGGCGCTCCAGGGATTCTCTGTGGACCGTCTGGGGTTGCGCTTCAGAACCTCCAAGGTGCTCTGAAAAACACTCTTGGGCTGGGCACCCCAGGAACCTTCTGGGGTTGGGCACTCCCTGCAAATACTCTGGGGGACATCTTTGGGGTTGGGCACTCCAGGAATTTTTGGGAACTCTTGGGCCTGGGCACTTCAGTGATTCTCTGCAAATACTCCAGGGATTCTCTGAAGGGGATAGTCTGGGGTTGGGCACTGCTGGGAACTCAGGGGTTCGCTGGGGATACTCTGTGGTTTGGCACTCCAAGGAGAGGAGGTTAGTTTAACTAGTGTGCAATCTGACCCCGAGTGGGGAACCGACAAGCAAGCAAACAAAAGAATGACGCATCCGGAGGACTGCTTCCGGATCGGGGCCCGTAGTGTCCAGACATGTTGGTGCCTTTGCCATTCGCGCTTCCGTTAGTTTTGGGATCCGTGCCCCTCTTTCCTTCAGAGATGACCTTGTGTTCTTTCATTTTGTGCGCATTGACAGGGACGTGCGCCGTTGAAAGGAAAGCTGGCATTTTGGGATTTCCAACCAAACGAACAAACGAATGCTAATAAAAACAACAAAAGAGCAAACATGGAAGTGTGCTTGCAATATCCGCAGGACTGGTGTCCTGAACATGTTTCTAGGTGTTGGGGATGCGCATATTTTTTCTCGAATTCTCTTCTTTCGATTCACTAGCCGCTGCTTTTAAATCACTAGCCGCTGCTCGTTCATGCATCTGATGTTGTTGTTCGTACTTCTGATGCTGTGTTGTTCTTGGCTCCTAACTGGCAAACGACTCTATTCCACATCCGCAGAACCTACACGCCAGGCTCTAGACAAGAATGTCCCATGCAAACTCCGCACTGTCGGCTTCAGTCCTGTCAACCTCGAAACCCGGACACCGTGTATAGCCGATGCTGTGCGCCTTCCTGGAAGCGCTGGGTTGCCCTCGGCCTTGCAAGCTGCATATAAAAAGCGCTAATTGTCCTCCAGCTGCGCAGAGCTACTTGAGGCGCAAGTGAGCCGTGCAGATACAGTACACCCGCAGCTTGTGCAGATCACAAGGGCCCTTGTTGATGTCAAGAGGAATCGAGACCAAGGCATGAGAATACACACCAATTCGACAGCTCAACCACCAAAAGCAAGAGCATATTCTCCCGCGGGACTCTGTCAACTCCAACAAGTGGCCAGTGTCGAAATCCCTGGAATGGATACTATGCCTACTACAGTACCAAGTCAAGCAAAGCCCGTTTTGCACTCACGCCTGCGATATCACAATGCCATTACGGCACAGGTGAAACCGTCCCTGCGCAAACTGTGTACCTCCCCCCTACTTGCTACTAAAATGTGCGCTCATGCGTCCAGCCGGGAAGTGAGAAAAAACAAACACTTGGACCTGCTGCCATGGTGGCTCGTGCCGCTTTGCAACCTTACGAATCGGATTAACCGTGCTTAGTCGCATGAGCAGCTGACGGACCGGCGGAGGCGCTCTCCGTTCTACTCTTCACCGCCAAGGCGAAGGGGGGAACCACAACTACGAACGTGCCTTGAACCAAGTTCCGAAGTTCGGCAATCAACTGCCATGGCTGGACAGCTTACGTCATCAGGCACGTATCGCTGCCGCTCTATTCAACGAACGAAACTGCAGCTCTGGGTCGGCGCACTGCCAAGCATTACAGCGCCATGTAAACAAAAAAACGCGGCTTCCGACATCGTAAATGTCAAATAAGACGGTTGTCAGAAGTTGCAATCAGGCAACAAGTCGTCACGGTCGGACAAACTCACCTTGCCGCAGGAAACAACAATGCTGATAGAAGGAGGACCCACATGTGTAAGTAGAGAACTGTTCCTGATTCTGTATTTTCTCTAAGCACCCCACCATTTCACTAAGACTGCCACTAACAACCATTGCCCCTCGCACACACAACAATTGCCCTTCTTAAGCACCCACCAAACAACAGAATGCCACAAGCGTGCAGCGTGGATGGATCAGTCTGGCATACCCACATAACCATGAATATGTAAACAGCCAGAATATGACTAATAACTAATACGGTGGATGGACGAAATCTTGCACCACCGGTTACACGCATGCTTGAAACGATTGCGGCGTCAAGCCCCGCACCCCCTTCTTAACATTGACCGCTAGGACTTTTCGAGCGGTGCAAGATTTCGGCCATTGGAACGAATCCGGTCCGCAGCCTTTCACAACCAATGTTAAAAAGGGGGTGCGGGGAATCATGAAACGGCATTTTTGAAAAGCGGTGCAAGATTTTGTCCATCCACAGTACAGTATGAATGCAGTTGCCAGGTTCTCGAATCTCGGTTAGTGCGACTGTGGCAAGACTCTCAACATCTCGCGACATGCATTCATCGGAGGCGTTCGCAGAGCTCAAACCCCAGGGGTCCGATGCAGCACGGGGCTGAAGTGGTCACCGAATGGCACACAGCTGAAAGAAGCACGGCTGAACACTCACAGTGGTGTAGATTTTGCTTTTCTTGTCCAACTCCTTCGGTACTTGGAGCCACCTGCATGCATGCCTCAATTGGAAGTAAAGTGCTTCATCTTTGAGTTCAACGCACAAGACACAGTCGAACGAGAGAAGACCTGTGTGACATGAGGAAATAGCTGGCATGCCAACAGCCGGTCTAGCGATTGGCTACTGCGGAGCCCCTTCTACGTTCTCCTTGCCTATTCCATACGGTCCAGGTGTTCTCCCTCTTCAAACAAAACGGACTTCAAGTCCAGTGCCTTTTCAAACGGGCGCCTGACTTGACAATAGGTGTGATATGGTGTGATGGGATTTCCAACAGATCCGCGACCCCTGGCTGCAGCGCCGCCACTTTCCAGTCGCGACGATGATTACGAGAAGCAGACCACTCTAGCCACGCGTCCGCGTTGCAAGATATCTCTGCGTTTCAAGATATCTGCCGGCTCGAGCTGCGATATACAAAACGTGGCCATAAAAGCACTGAGGAAGTGGCAGAAAAAGTGCCGAAGTGGCCACCAAAAATGTGGAAGCCATGAACCGAATTTGACACGTCGCCGGAAAGACATCTGCTTGGTGATGCGCGCGAGCCGCGGGGTACCCCAGAGCACCGCCCACGCATTGAGCACGGGTGGGCAGGTCGACGAGCTTCGTACGCAAGGCGCCTAAACCCTGGACCTGGAATCCAGTAGTCTCCACCGCAACGCGAAACAACGCCTGCCTGGCGAGGACCCACCGCACGCTGCGGATGCACGCTCTACAAACACCCAACTCGGCATGCCCGACTGCACGGTGGCAAAGGGGCGGGCGAAGGAACCACAGGCAGGAACACGCAAGGCGTAGCCGTAGGTGGAGACGAGTCTTGTTGCGGAGCCCAGAGAAGCATCAACTCACACTGCATTGATTGGGGCCCGGGGCGAGTTGGGCACGCAGGGTATCCGATTCGCAGGTTTGGCCTTGCAGCACCGGTGTCTAGCGTTTCATCCTTTTGGTGCCTTCGGCTGAGCCGATTCGGTGATCCCCGGAGCACTGACACAGGCACAGACACCCGGCTGCCCTGATACCTGCGAGTTCCAGTCAAATGCATCTGCCGCACGCTACGGGATCCAATGTGGGAGCCATCCTGCACTTTTCGGACAGGTAATTAGTTAAGGATACTTTGCCGCATGTTGGCGCAGGATTCTGTCGCCGTTGCCTCCAGGAATACTCTTAGAATTAGACCCGGCACAGAGGTCATCGCACCAGCATTCTGTACTCTCCGTGGGATTGCTTGGGGGTGGGCACTTCGCGAAATCTCGGCGCGACACTCTGCTTCGGGGGGTAGACACTGCAGGGATACTCGGTGGGGCTCTTGACGTGGGAACTTTGGGGGTGGGCAGTCCAGGACATTCTGCGGGATTCTACGCAAGCATCAATAAGGCCCTTGTCTTCCGCTCACATGTACACGCGGAGTAAGGCCCGCATTGGCCAAATACGGGTCTTATTCTGCCCCTACGTATCCAGGGCGCGTGTGCCTGTACATGTTACGAGTACGTATACGTGTTTGTATCTTCTAGCTTGTGGAGGCCACTTGCTGTCGCATTCTTTGATGTTACTTGATCTTGACTGGTTATCACGTGTGTGCGCTGACTGCAGGGTGTTGTTATTCACTTATAGCAACGGCCGTTTTCCTGGCATGTGTCAGCCTTTTACACCTCCCTCGTGGAGATGCTCCTGCTGCCGTCCTAGTGATCGCCCAGGCCCACATTTTTGGCTGTGTCCTGCCGTGTCGGGGCCTGTCCCTAAACCCTAAACCCTTAAACCGTATGTATGTGTATCTGTAAGCATAATGATGTATGTATGTGTATGTATATATCTATGTCTGTATATATTATGTGTGTGTATGTGTATGTATAGATCTATGTGTGTATATATGTGCATATATGTGTGTATGTATGTCATTTAATTGACCTTCCTGTTTTTGTATGAAGATACTTTGTTTTTAGAACTTGTAAAATGGAATCCCTAAGGCAGGCAGATTTGGGAAGAAGCCTTACACCTTCAAACCATCTTTTTTTTTGGGCGCAGAGGAAGCAGATTTGGGTTGAAACCTTACACCTTTAAACCTTCTTTCTTGTTGGGCGCAGAGCAGGCAGATTTGGGAAGAAGCCTTACACCTTTACACCCTCCTTTCTTGGGCGCAGAGCAGGCAGACTTGGGAAGAGTCCTTACACCTCTAAACCCTCCTTTTTTGGGGCGCAGAGTAAACCCTTCCTTTTTGGGGCTCTGGGGATGGGAGACACAGGCTAGGGAGCGTGGGCGAAGAGAAGAGAATGGTTGACTTAAGCTGTAACGACCCCACACGGAAGGTGGAGAAAAACAGCGTGAGTATATGGGATCATGCAGCATGTGGCAGACTGGCTAGCAACCCAGAGCCCGCCTGTAATTAGTTTGCACAGGCTTCGCCTTCTCTATGTTGCAGGCGGATAGTCCTGTGCGAGATTGCTCGGTGTTTAAGCTCGGCCGTAATCTCATGTCAAGCACGGCTTGCAAAGACACTTGCAAATGGCATCTTGCTTCAGCAGTCTCACCCGCTTTGATGGGGAGTGGGGACCTCGTCCTCGACCAGCTCACAGTCGATCCACCACCTGATGGCAGTCTTGGAATAAAGAAGACAAAATGCACCTTGGAAGGGGAGAGGAGAAGAGGACTCTCTGGGACTCTCCTCCGAACTCTCCCCCAGACTCTCCTCCGGACTCTCCTCTCAGGGCTCTCTCTCACTGAGAGGATTATTTTCTCTGGGCCCCCCAGCACGCTGCCCATCAGATGCTCACCGAAGATCTTGGCCGGAACGACTCCCTTGGCCTTAGCTTGGGGAGGGCATTGACTTTCGGACTTTCGGACCTCTTTCCGACAACTTTATGACTGTTTTGCCAATTCAGTAGCTCTTGGCGCTACATGTTACGTGTTTTGATATCAGCTGCCACTGTCGCACACCGCGACATGCCCTGCGAGGCAACAGCAGCAGTAGCAACAGCACAAGCAAACAGGGGGATGTGAGGTGATGCGTCATGGTGTGGAGTCGCTGACGTGAGATTCGTCATTGACGGCCTGAGGCAAGAAAATCGAGACGCTTCCTGAACATCAGGCATCGGAATCTTCACAGAACCTTACCATAGCTATAGCAGTCACTAACTACGAGCACTTGAGATCAGGGCCACTAGGCGACCCACTGTTTTCTCACAATGTCTGCGTATGCTATCTGAAGTGCAAGGTTTCGGGGCATGCTGCGAAAGCAACCCCAGCTTGTGACGTGAGGGGCCTTTGCTGGGCTTCATGGGGGATGAGGGTGGCCCTCCTACCTGAAAATCAATCAGTGTGCACCTTCAAGCCCACCACCCCTTGAACTATTGAGCCAATTTGACCCACCAATCTCCAAGGAGCTACAAGTAGCTTTCGGGAATTTTCGCGCGATTTGCGGAGCAT